AGCATCGTACCAACGCATCGAATCCAAGTTCATGAAAAAGGAGAGGATAACGACTGAGAGATCTTCCAGGGAGGAAATCAACTTCTTATCCGCGTTGATCAAAGATGATTCGGGCACATCGCAGAACAACTGCACACGGGGAAATACCCCGCGAAACGAGTAAACAGCCCAAAATCGACAGAACCCGGGAAGACAAGACCGCTTACGATGATCGGCGCCAGAGACCCCCGATATTACAAACGGCCATCAAGGCGTTAAGCTCACGCCACGGGACTTAAGCAAGGGCTGGAAGACCCATAGGGAAGAGAGTTATGCCGCACAGTTCTAGGATAATGAACCAGCATTCAATGGGAAGCAAATCCCTTTGTGTGCTCAACATCCTAAAAAACTACACACGGACAAAATATTGATGATTTGATTGTCCCCGTCTATAAGTGACGGGTTTCGGGAGAAGGGAGCCGTGTGATAGGCGACTATCGCGCGCGGTTCTTTGAGAGGGAGCCAGGTTCTATATCCTGTGCTAGCGCCTAGAGATGGGTGCGAACCCTACTCTCGAGGTTCTGCGGCTCAGTTAAAAGCTATGAAACAGGTATGCGGTAGCTTGAAACTAGAATTGGCGCAATATCGTGAAGTAGCCGCTTCTGCTCAATCCGGTTCAGACCCTGATGCTGCTACTCAGTATCTATTAAATCGTGGGGCAAGGCCAACAGAGGTTCTTAAACAACCACAATATAGCCCAATTCCTATTGAGAAACAAATAGTTGTTATTTATGCAGCTGTCAAAGGTTATTTAGATAAAATTCCTATTTCGAGCATCAATCAATATGAACATGAGCTTTTGAAGTCTATAGACTCAGATATACTTTCTGCTATCGTACAACAAAAAAACATTACTGAGCAGATTGATAGTCAACTGGCTACCTTTCGTCAAAAATGTACACAGAGCTTCTTAGCAACTCATTCGGTTCAAAAAGAGAAAACTCAAAAACAAGTTTAAGGCCGCAGGTTTTGTTTCCGTGCTTCCGGGTGGAGGGTGAAAGCGGCCAGGGCGCAGCCAATTTGTTTTCTTCCGCCCTCTGGCCACGCCCTTAGTAGGGCTTCGTCATACGAGCGGAGCTCGAAAACCCTCCATCCCCACATTAACAACATGTAGATTTGGAGAAAACAAAAACGCAACAAAACATTAACAAAATTGAATATATAGAACGCTTCTTAATGTACTACTATTAGGGCTTTACGCCTTTGTATTTGTACCATCGATATTCTCTACGTATGCGTTATCTTCGCCCACTATTTGGTTTTTAACTGGATGACCCAGATTAACTATGTATTGCCGTAATGCTGCGCTTTGCGCCCATTATCTGGGCCCGCGCTTAGATAGATGTTTGCATCAGTCTTTTCTTTCTTCTAAAACGAATCAATCATTTTCGATGATTGCTTCGCCCTTCACCAAATTCTGGCTGGTGTAATCAGGAGAAAGGGATTCGAACCCTTAACCTGTGGTTTTGGAGACCATTGTTCTACCATTGGAACTATTCTCCCAAAAAAAAAGTGGTTCTTGGTTTATGGAATTTGCACCTATTTGTGTCTATCTAGTAATAAGTTTAGCTATTTTCTTTGATCTTAATTGGTGTTTCCTTTCTATTTGCTTCTTTTTCCAATTCGGCCCATCCGGAGAAATTGTTAGCTTACGAATGCGGTTTTGATCCTTTCGATGATGCCAGAAGTCGTTTCGATATACGATTTTCTCTCGTTGCTATTCTATTTATCATATTCGATCTGGAAGTCACCTTTTTATTTCCTTAGGCAGTTTCTCTCAGCAAAATTGGTTTGTTTGGATCTTGGTCTATTGTCTTATTTTTATCGATTTTAAAGATTGGATCTTTATACGAATGGAAGAAGGGCGCTTTAGATTGGGAGTAACCCGACGATTTCCGAGCCAAGAAACGATAAAAACAAAAAAACTGTTTTTTTGCTTTTCTCGTTTTGCAAGCTTTTAGCATTCCTTCCATTGTCACGTAACAAAATGGGATACTAGATAAGTAGGCATAATAAGTCATTCATTAACTTTATTGAGCTCTCAGAGCCTTTGTTGGCATAGCCAACAAAGTGCAGCCCACGGCAAGAGAGCCCGTGAGGCCGCACCCGCTCTCGGATGAAATTGACTGAAAGGATGGTGGGACGTCAAACGAATCGAGCAGGGCGCTGCCAAATTAGTTTGTTTTCGTGCGTTTGATTTTCTATGTCCTGTCTGGTAGTTCAATATTTTTACCCTATAGGGTGGCAAATATTAAAGCGTTTCGCGGAACAATGACTGTCTGTTCCCGTACAGTGAATGCCTAAAAATAATAGAAGAAATATTTTTGCGATGGGGGAAACCTGAAAAAGCGACTAGGAGGGTTCGCACAACGAATGAAAGGTGAAGGTAGTTTTCCTACGTTTTTCCCTCTCCGAAGAGCTTCTAAATAATATGTTTCGCTTCCCCCGCGCTCTCTTCGACGAAATGAAAAAAAAGACATTCTATATTAATTACACAGTATACTCAATTATATACAATCGATAAAGAGATTAGCGCAACCTACCTTTTGTCGATGCTCTATGCTATATGAATGAGAAACAAGTGGTAATAGAGAGAAAAAAAAGAAAGATTTTTTTGCTATGCTTCTTATCTCCAAGCCCTACACTCCTATTTCGGGTTTGGCCCTTTATCCGCTTCACTTTGACCAATAGGCTAGAGGAACCACTTCGGTGGCGTAGCTGTGAAAGATCAATTTGAGTGATGTGCAATAAGATAAAGCGTCGGGCAATTGGTAAAAAAGAAACAACACCTTTAAGAAAAAAGAAACTAATCATGATGTGTTCTTTTTTCATTTCTTATTTAGCATATTAGGGTAATTAGCTCAGTTGGTAGAGCGCCTCGTTTACACCGAGAGAGTCAGCGGTTCAAGTCCGTTATTACCCAAGGGTTCATTATCCACGATTCTAAATCGAATCTAGCGTATGAATAAATTGAGTAATTGAATTTATGATAATAGGACCACGATAATAGGAAAAAGGGAAAAAAGCAAGCTTTATTCGCACGGCGAATGAGAGCTTCTTTTTTCGGAAGAGAATGACACGGTTGGGGAGAACATAAGAAAGTGGCAAACCAGAGCAAAAAAGCGGTAATATATATTCTCGCTTTTTTTGCTTTGCTTTTCGTTGGGCCAACTAAAGCAGAAAACGCATGGCGTTTTCTTAGTTTATGGTACAATCTGGACTATAAGATGGTCATCAGAAAAAAAGAGATCTCTTATTACTGTGGACATAGAAGGTGCCCTGGTTCCATACGGCTCCACTAGCATAGCGAGTAGAGGCCGAAGCGCTTCGGCCTTACTGCCCATTACTATGTAATCGGCTTGACGCATGCGAGGCCACAGGTCAACTAATCACGAAAAAGTGCCTTTCGGTGCAAAGCAGAGAGCCGTG